GAGGATAAGTATCCAAGGTGGGCAAGGTGCTATCATCCTGAAGTATATACCAACATGTTGACGAACAATTATGTGGAGTCATGGCACAATCAGCTCAAGACCGTTTATTTGCAACGCAAATACCCAAGACGTGTAGATTTTCTAATCTATACCCTTGTTGAAGAAGTCGAGCTCGATATGGTGGCCATCATCAAGCAACGTGCAGCACGCAACGGTGCATTGACCAACCAACAGCGGCATATGCTACAGAAGAGGAAACAAGCCAATGACTTGGCTAATGACATGACCGACATGCAACTTAGCTGTATGATTCAACCGAGTACAGCGGATACAAATGCATACCTTGTCAATAGTTTTGCACTTGATGGTATCCGTTTTACGGTAAGCTATATCTTTTATCCTCGAGCCAAGCATGATTCTCATCTATAGTATCCCTCTTCTTAAAGGTCACTGTTGAATACGACACAGCCTCTGATACCACAAAAGTGATGACATGCTCATGTCTAGCTTACAAGTTTAATAACAAGGCATGCAAGCACATGTTCCTTCTCGCACGTTGGAATACATCTTACGTCGTTAATGGTGATCATCAACCTAAAAGGGTCACGATTGATCTCAACCCTTCCGCTCCTTCTCTTTCTCCATCTGCATCGCGAGCTCAAGATGCCAACAATGTCTCTCAATCCGCTTCCACCACTACCAATGACACCAACGATAATACTTCCATGGATAATCCTCGTGATACCATCAAGTCCCAAATCAACAGGTTCAAACGTACACTCGATCAAGGATCATTTAATGATGCAAAACTTCTTGATATTATTGGCAAACTGGACAATCTTCAATCTGAACTCGATCAAGCTCGTATACTACCACCAAACGCTAGACTCCCGCCACAACACCCACGCAAAAGAAATCGAACTAGAAAATAAATCGTATCATTATCCTTTTCCTCTTCCTTGAATCACTCATTCCCTTGACGTATCTTGTATAATTACTTAGCTTTTGTTGGTGTACAAACGATACTGTATATTGGCTCCACGAATAAAGTAAACGAAAAAAAGTCGACAACAACACGCGACTTTTTGGACGATAACGGGTTCCCTTGTTGAAAAATATCCACTGATCATAATACTACCTTTGGTGAAGGTGGCAAGGCTGTGAAAGTGTGTGTGGTAGGCCCAAGAGGTGTGCTGTATAATAGGTAGCGTAAGTTGGGATCGCCCCATGTGTTTGCCAATTCGTCACAATCGCTCAGATCGAAG